TTAAATTGACATTAAACTTTAGCATTAGTTGAGACTCGTTACCATTACCAATCAAAAGATAATAATTAATTAGGCTAGCTAATTAATTTAATAAATAGGACTAGATTTGAGTTAAGAAGTTCCATTTAAGGGAAAATTATAGAGTGAAATCCCCTTCATTATACTTATCATATATACCCTTAGCTTGTCTGGACGTTTATTTTTTGGGGGTTTAAATTGAGTTTATGAAACCTTTCCAAACTCAGCCTCAAGGATTTGTACATGGGATTCAAAAAAAAATTCTATACAATCTTATATTTGGTTGGTGATATAAATATTTGTGAAATTCATGGATTTATATTAAATCATATTACTCAATTTACTAAAATGTTCATTATTATGGGAATAAAAGAATAAATTTTTGGGTAAAATAGTATTTTTATCTTCAAATTCAATCTTTCACTTTTGAAACCCTCCTCATGGGTTTCATCAATCCCCCATTTGTGAGTTTTAATCAACAATTCACCACGGGTAGGGTATGAGCCGAAATTTATTGACCGTATGAATCTCGAACCTCAAATATTTAACTTAACATAAGTTTAGAATGTATGTTTGACTATTTTTATAAAATTCACCCCTTAAATCTTATTCAAACACATTTATTAAACATGCCCTTAAAGTATGGACATAATTTCTATTTAGTTCTTGAAATTTCTATTGGTATAATTACACTTTTACTCAAGTCATGTTTTGGGCATGAAAGATCATTCCGTCATAATAAATCAGTGAATTTTGATGTAAGGATTAGATTGAATCTCATTTAAAACTCTAATGACTTGGCTATTGCAATTAAAACTTCAAAAACTAAATAAGAATTAATTACATACTTTAAGGGTATAAAGTATAATTTATCCTCTTCTTGTTATTCACTTCGTATTTAATGACATGCAATTTTAAAACTAACCGAAAAAAGATATGCAATTTTTAATGGGGCAGACTGATGACGCGGCACTTTGACCATTTTTGTTTCAGTCAAAAAAACCGCCCAACTCCACCCTGGTATTACCTGCGATTCGTTCCCTTGTATACTCCTCTCTCTCTCTCTCTCTCTCTCTCTCTCTCTCTGCATGAAAGAGCTGTTTTCCAAATTCGACATATTCTTCTAGGGTTTCAAATGTCTGCTACAAGTACCCAACGACGACTAATCAACTCCTTACTGTAAGTCTCTCCCCAAAAATACCATAACCCGTATAAAATTTCCAAAACCCCCTAACTTTCTATGCATTTTTTCGTCTCTCTTTGGCCGAATATGTTGAATCTATATGCCCCACGATAGCTCTGTTTTGAAAGGTTTTACCCAGTCTTAATTTGTGTTTGATTTCGTCTCTTATTCTTTCTCCTTCTAGAGAGTTAGAGAGATAGAGAGAGCGGGTCAAGGATTTTTGGTGAGAAAAAGGCTCAGATGAACATTGAATTTTAGCTATTTATCTTGAAGTCTCCGAAATTAATGGTTCCTATGGCCTTTCCGAGAACTATCCTCATATTGGTTTCATTGAATTCTCGGTATCTTAGTTTTGAAAGTTGATATTTTTATCTCAAAGGCTCAATTTTTTGGAAAACCCTCAAACGGATTTCATTGAATTTTCAGAAGTTTCTTTGAAAGTTGGTATTTTTTCTCGAGACCCAACTGTGATGTTACATATGGCCTTTCCAGGAACAATCCTGAGCTGGTTTTGATTGAATTTGTATAATTACCGTACAAGTTTGTGAGATGTTAGGAGAAGAAGATAGCAAGGAGTGGCCATCCGGTGGCAATAATCAGAGAACGTATTCACGGTCAGTTTCGTGGACTGATCGGTCACCGAGAAAGTCTACTTCTCGACCTCAATGGAACAGTAAGGCACGGGGTTGTTTGCCTCCGCTTCAGCCTCTTTCAATCACTAGAGTGAATGTTGAGGAGTGGCCAAAGGCAGGGTCTGATGACCTTGGCATATGGCCTACTAATCCCCCTACCCCTGGTGTAAGGCTTGGACCAATTAAGAACTGTGAGAACTCAAATTCTGAGCAAACCCCAAGGGAATTTGAATTCAAGAAAGACAAGCTTGCATTTTTTGATAAGGAATGCTCGAGAATTGTAGATCATGTATATTTAGGAAGTGATGCAGTTGCAAAGAATCGTGAAGTTCTTCGTCAGAATGGTATTACCCATGTGCTGAACTGTGTTGGGTTTGTCTGTCCAGAGTATTTCAAGAATGATCTGGTGTACAAGACACTTTGGCTGCAGGACAGCCCGTCTGAGGATATCACAAGTATACTCTATGATGTGTTTGATTATTTTGAAGATGTTCGAGAGCAAGGTGGGCGAGTACTTGTCCATTGTTGCCAAGGCGTGTCACGATCAACCTCTTTGGTCATTGCATACCTTATGTGGAAGGAGGGGCAAAGCTTTGAAGATGCATTCCAATATGTAAAAACTGCAAGAGGGGTGACTAACCCAAATATGGGTTTTGCTTGCCAACTTCTGCAATGCCAAAAACGAGTACATGCCATGCCTGCAAGCCCAAATTCTGTGCTAAGGATGTATAGGATGGCACCTCACTCTCCGTATGATCCCCTTCATCTTGTACCAAAGTTGTTGAGTCAGCCGGGTGTGCGAGGCCTTGATTCACGAGGTGCATTTGTTGTTCATGTTCCTTCAGCTATATATGTCTGGGTTGGGAAGAGTTGCGTCTCAGTGATGTCAGATAGTGCAAGGACTGCTGCTTACCAAGTCATCCGATATGAAAGAGCTCAGGGTCTGGTCATGATCATCAAAGAAGGTGATGAGCCATCTGAATTTTGGGAGGCTCTTGGTATAGTAGATGGTTGCAACGAAGCAGAGGCTAGAGGGGCAGACATGCCTTTGGCCAGAAATGACAGGGTTGCTATTGCTATTCAGCCAGGCATTGGAGACAGGAAGTTCGATTATGATTTAGATTTTGAAATTTTCCACAGAGCACTTGCTGATGGAGTTGTTCCACCTTTTTCATTATCAGGAACAGGATCTGAGACATGTCTTCCTGCTAGAGAAAATGGGTGGGGCAGATTGAGACGGAAGTTTGCCTGCGGTATTATGAAAGAATTTATCACGTCATCCAAATTGAGCTGCAACACTACCGAATCAAGTCATGAACCGGGTGAGAATATGGAGGCTTGTAAAGAAATTGAATACCCCGTTTTGCCGACTGATCCTTCATTGCCTTCAAGCTCTCAGTGTGGTTCTGAAGATTCGTTCTCTTCTTTCGCAACCACCAGTGCCAATTGTATAAAGGGTACTTGCGAAGAAGTAGAACAATCTAGTCCTCTCATCGACCCTTTATCGTCACCATCACCTCCATCCAGTTTGCGAGATTCCTTTCCTTATTTTGTTGTTAGTCACCCAGAGTTTAGTTCCACATCCCCTTCACTCTCACCTTCAACCTCTGATTACTCCGGTTCATTTAACTTCTCACCCTCGTCTTCTAACTGGTCTGACTTGTCATATTTATCTGCTCAGCCTTCACCTTCGGGAATGCAATCCAAAGATTTATATTCTGCTAACAATTCTTCCTTGGGGGAAAGTGCCTGTGTCAATTGCAAAAAAGCTGCTTCTTCATCAGAAGAAACATTTTCTACTAATCATGCTTCAGGAGTGGCAAACACTTGTTTGCCATGTAAAGGGATTTCGCCCTCCATTGCAGAGCGCAGAGGAAGTAATCCTCCCCCACCAATGATGCTACCTCCTGTAGATGATGCATCTCATGTTTCAACAAACCTTGTAAGATCATGTTCCTTTTCTCTGCCTGACTTGGAGGATGAAATGATGAGGGATCTTGAATGCAAACAGTTTGATGAAGAAGGTTCTTATGAAATGGATAGAGAAGAGCGGGTCTTGGAGGCTGAAATTGACATGGTTGGCGATGAATTCCAAAATGGGCTTGACAATGAAATTGAGTATGATACTTCTCATTATCCATTGAATAATTTGGGCCATAGTGTCGCAAAAGTAGCTTCCCTAGTTGTTTATCATTGGCCTTCTATGCATAAAGTGGAGAGGCATTGCTTTGACATCCTTGATTCTGGATCTATTTATATTATGTTTGTGCCCGATGTGAGTATGGGCACAAATAATCTTGATGTACTGTATGTTTGGTTGGGGCGTGATGTGTTATGCGAGAAAGGTCATAATCAATTGATCAACAATGATGGCACATGCAGGGATAGTCATGTCCAATGGGAAAAAATTGCCCACAACTTCCTTGCTCAAAGGGGTTTAGAGACAAATTCCATTGTTCAGGTAATGATTACACAACTTCATACATTGTGTTTTTTGATATCAATGTTCTTAAGTCTTAACACATGTTTTCACTTAAACTATAAAGAACTCAATAAGGTGATCATTTTAAGGAGTGAGGAATGCAGTGCTGACTGTGATGCAAGAGTGTAATGTGGGTGAAAATATTTTAAATTTTGAGCATGATGGAATAGTTGGAGGAGACTCTTTTGTTTAAGTTGAAATGAGATATCGTGATTATGTGTTTGTCTACATATAATATTTTGCAATAGATGTAAACTGTGGTCGTCAAGTACTTGCTAATGAAGAAAGATGAAGTGGGTTGTTTATGTTGAAGTACCACTGTATATCATCCCCCTTCCTCCCCCTCCCCCTCCCCCAAAAACAAAAACCCCAACACATCCCAAAAAAAAAAAACAGAACTATCCTCTGTAGTTGAAGCAAACAATGTTGCTAATTAGTTTCACATCTGTCTGTGTCTGTTTCTGGTATTTCTCAACATGCAAAAGTATTATTTGGCCTATTGTTGTTAAAGCCTCTCCCCTTAACATATTTGTTTGGTGGTTCTGTTTGAAATGATAGACTAAATTGTTGATGTAAATTTCTGCGGAATAAACAGATAGTCAGAGAAGGTGAGGAACCGGAGCAGCTCCTAAAGCATCTCCAGTGCTTCTCATTTCAGAAGGCATTAGGCAATACTAGCTGAGACATGGAAGGATGTGGAAACTCTCTAAAGTCCTTGTCTCTGATTTTTCCGGCTTTGTGGGTCATTGACAAGGAACTATTGCAGTTACTCAACGGTGAGTTAGCATCCCAGGCAGTACAAGTTCTTCTTTTCTGCTTGTGTGATGAAAGCAGAGAATCTGATTTATCATTCCAGCTGAACAACGTACAAAGAACAAAACCGCTGTATACTAATAGGTATTTAGAAGTTTATTATCGATCTCCCTTCAGAACAAGTAAACTGCAATCAGTTTTCTTTGTTTTAATTGTTCATCTTGGTTTTGGCTACATCCAGCACCGAAGGTGCTTCTATTTGGGAAGAATCTAAAGCAGTATTCATTCTAATCCTGGCATTTCCTATTTGTAAATAAGATGATATTTTTTATAAGTTCCTTAACTTTTCCATTCAGGGTTGGAGAATTTTCTATTGTTTATGCATGTGATTCAATTAAATCCAACCTGGTCTTTCTAAACCCAAAATTCTTGCCCCTCGAAAACACGAGGCAAGAGTGTGTCGAAGCATGAATTGACCTATGGACGTGAACTTTGGGTGAGATGCACTAATAGGCGACTTCCTTTTGTGCACTAGCATTTCTCCTTCTACAACTTGACGAACCCAGACAAAACAAGTGAGCACCTCACGCGAGCTTTATTGAAAGAGAAGAGTTTTTCTCTCTTGTTGCTTTTGAGCCCTTAAGTCGAAGCATGAATTGACCTATCGACGTGAACTTTGGGTGATATGCACTAATAAGCAACTTCTTTCCTTACTATCATTCTCAAAACGAAGCTTGATAGGAGCCCATCCTATAATCCAAAGTCAATATGTTAGAAAAATTAAGGAAAAATTTTATTCACATTTCCTGTAGTTAGGTTTAAATACAATGACATCTTCTCTTAATTTTAAAATTTCACTGCATTATGTTTACTTCAATCACACTCCTTATCGTGAATATCTATTATTGACAAATAAAAAATGCTAATGTCATGTGATTCTTTTTTCTAAAATACTTATATTACCCTTCTATACTATCATTCTTTTTTCTAATATATTTATATCTATTGAAATTATTTTTGACACAAAATAAAATCATTCAACATAATAAGGTCAAAAATGCATACAAACAAAAAATAAAAAAATTAATTTTAACATTCTACCAATAATAAGATTAATTATAGTCATTTTTAATTTATCCCAATAAATTTTTATCATTTTAAAGCGTTGTATGATAATTTTGTTTTAATATGAATCATCATATTATCACTCATTTGACAAAATTTAATGTTAATTTGGTGTTAAATTAAAAAAAATGACATTAATTTGATTAGTTTTAATATATTAAATTTTAATTTAATAAAATTAAATGTTAATTTGATTTTAATTTGATAAAATTAAATAATAATTTAATGTTAAATTAAAAAAATAATATTAATTTTATGAAATGATATATTAAATTAATATAATTGAGTGTTAATTTGATAAAATTAAATATCAATTTTGTATTGATTTGATAAGATTGAATGTTGATTTAATTTAAATTTAATTAAAGACATTAATTTGATAAAATTACATATTAAATTGATGAAACTAAAGACTAATATAATAGAACTAACTAAAATAGCATTCAATGAAATTTCAAAATCGGGAGAGTGCTGTTAAAAATAAATCTATTTAAAAGAAGTGTTGTTAAAGTTAAATCTATTTACAAAAGGTATTTATAAAATTTATCCTATAAAATAGTAAAAGATATTCTATAAAACAATGCTCATAAACAAACAATAACTCACAAGAGGTGTTAGTGAAATTTCAGAATAGTGAGAGTCTCGTTGAATTGTGTATGAAATTTTCCAAAAACTTAAATTTGGTATGGACACTTTCTCCGTTCGAACGGATTGTTCAAGATGCACCAACAGGGTCAATGTACGACAACTTGCCAAAACCATGGATGCTGCTGAATCTGCATCCACTATAAGCGGATTACATCAAATTCCTGTAGCAATACTCGCGTATACACGAGGTTCCACCCACCTCAGAACTGCTTATTACAAAAATGGCCTGCTATAATCCAACAAGATAATTCGTGTCATTTCAAGGCTGAACATCATATATATTATTAACAAGCAAAATCTGTCGAAAGTGGGTGAGCAATAAAATCTTGTTCCATATTGGAACTGAAGATTGGTAGACATCGGGCTTCGTACAAAACTCAAATCCTCAAGTATTCCGTTCCTTTACTTCTATCCTATATTCATAAATAGAATACGCGGGATAGAACAAAAACATATGCATAAGCATTCTTGCCGATATTCAGTCTCAGATCTCATTTTTCGATCTTAGAAGAGACATTGTTGGGCCTAGTGCACTGCCTCTCAAGGCTCTAGATGACCAAGCACTCCTTGCAGAACTCTCCTTGGTCCAACCATTCTCCTGAGATAGTTGTGTCTTCTTGGCATTTAGAGCCTCACTGAATTGATCCCATATGTTTACTTGTCCGTTTACTACAAATAATGAACAAGATAGAGCCCATTAGTATGTTGTCATAAGAGCCTTCCCAGACTCATCATTTTACTTCAAGCATTACGATGAAACAATGGTAGGTACCTGGGGTCATGGCATGTGTTTGTTCATCATTATTGCTAGGCACCGCACTTGCTATAACTTTTGTGTTGCCTGAAGGACCTTCATTAGCCCTACCAGTGGCTGCTTTTGCAAGATCTGAGTTGCCTTGCTTGACAATACGGACATCAACTAGTGATGAAAAATCTATCTGCAGATGACACTAGTTTGTAAGTAAGATTGACAAGCGAAGCAGCTTGACTTCCACTTGGAGACCATAAGTTGCTAATGCATGGCAGAAGCTGATGATTAAAATTCTGACGAACGAGACAAAAGAAAGAAAAAAAAAAATAAAGAAATGAGTTCATGTAGGACAGCTTGACTACCTCCAAAGATCCATCTTCTTTATAGAGTGAGTTATCTTGTTGCAGAACAGTTGCGTCTTCATCTGACTTCCCAGAAAAAATTGGATATTCTGGGGCAGGCATCAGCATAGTTCTACTTGATTCAGAATTGTACCACGATATTTGTCCAACCTAAGGAAAAAAAGATGGTAAACAACATGATATAATGGATAATGATGAGCTGCACAATCATTGAAGTTCTGATAAAGCTGTACTCGAAAGGCAGAAAGCTCAGGGGTCCAGGTCGACGACAACTCAAGCAGACGATATGCAATCACATCGCCTNTCTGATAAAGCTGTACTCGAAAGGAAGAAAGCTCAGGGGTCCAGGTCGACGACAACTCAAGCAGACGATATGCAATCACATCGCCTTCCTGCAAAACAATACAAAATATACGATAATACATGGGAAGCAAATTTAGTGGTTCAATCTGGGATAATAAAATCCAACGGCCTGGTGATACTTGAACCAATAAATCAAACTTCTGAAGCAAATGTTCTGCATGAAGCTTTCTAAGGGAAGTAAGGCACTGGAAGGTTTGGAAAAACAAACCCCATCACCCAGTATATCTCAACCAACAGAAGATATCCAAGAAGCATGCCAACATAAAAATAAAAGAAACAAAAAAGCAAACCTTAGGCCAGCTAGGAAGGGGTGGAAGTTTATCAAAGTCGATGGCATCATT